AGTGTAGGATATGAAGTCGCACCCGTTGGCCTCTACACACTGGAAGCCACTAGCCCTGTCCCTCCTTCCCCACAGTTGTGACAAAAATGTCTCTAGACATTGTAGAATGTCCCCTGGGGGACAGAACTGCCCCTGGTTGAGAACTGCTGCCCTAGATTAACTGGAAAAGTTAGTGTATTAATATATGAGCTGCCCGCTGCTAGGCTACACAGGACGAAACACAAAAAGGGTTTATGGCATATTTCATTTTTAAAATGCTCTGTGATGGGGCCAGCAGGTGGCGTGGTAGTTAAGGCGCTCCATTCCTACAGACCTGGTGGCTTGTTTTCTCATTTTCTTTCTCTCTGGTGAGTGCACGTGCCCTATAGCAAGTTTTTAAAAATAATAATTAAAATAATTCTTTTTAAAATGTTCTGTCATAACCATGCAGAAAAGGGCAGGAGAAAATCAGCCAAGTCACAAACAGGGCCATTCCCCTATATGATTAATAAATGGTCAATCAAGATGGAACTGAATCCGTGTTCAGCACAGACATTACGTAAATGTGTAGAAATGACATAAATTAGAACACTGAGACCCACGAGCGCGGGTTTAAGGAGGATAACACAGAATAACGAGGGCTAGGGCAGAACAGGTATTCCCACACATATCAGGGGACTAGAAACTTGTCGAAATAGTTTTTATACACACACGGACATACTGTAAAAGCCTATCACCAATGCATTATTTGCAGTAGCAAAAAAAAAAAAAAAACAAACAACCCCAAAAAAACCAAAGCTGGAAATAAGCTAAATATGCTAGTTAGATGATTACTATTGTAGCATATCCACTACAAATTATTATAGAGTTCTAGATGTCACATAAAAAGATGTTCATTATAGGATTGTCTAGGAGGAAAAGTGCCCTTTTTCCTAGAAAAGGACAGGGGAGGCGGCAGGTGGCCTGGTGGTTAAGGCGGCTGGATTCCCACACGACTGACCACAGTTTGAGTCCTGGGTCTGGCGGTTTGCTTTCTCGTTATCCTTCTCTCTCTCAACTTCAAAAAGAAAATAAATAATTCAAATAAAATAAAATAAAATAAAATAAAAAAAAATAAAATAAAATAAAAAAAGACACAGGAGAATAGAGAAATGGCTGGTGGTTATCTCTAGATGGTATGACCTTAGGTAATTTGTACTTTCGCCTTTATGTATTTCTGAATTACCTGAAGTCATTTATATTTGGCATAAGCTCTTTTCAAAACAGACTAAAAACTAAGAACAGTTCTGTAATCAATACCCCCCTCCCTTTTTTTTTTTTTAAGAGAGATTTTTGCTGTAGGGTATGCATGCTCGCCAGAGACAGCAAGTGAAAAATCACTCCCTAGGGGGATGGCCATGCCACCATCCCTTCTCCTCCAATCTCCTCTGGGGATTTTGGGCACGCACAGACACGTGCCCAATGTGTTTTAAGCCACCAGGTCTGGGACTCGAACCATGGTTGGCTATGTGGAAGTCCAGTGACATAACCACTGCGCCATCTGCTGGTCCATCTAGTTACCACCCTTCTAACCACAGCACGGGCTGGGTACTGCTCACTACCTGACATAGCTCCCCAGTGAGTTGCAGACCTCAACTTCCTGCACAGCAGCGGGTGGATGGGGAGGCTTGCTCGTGCCCACACCCCAACAGCAACTCCGTGAGGGGCAAATGCGGTGACCCCATTTCACAGAGGACAGTCCAAGACCCAGAAGAGGAAAGACCCCTGCCTGAAGCCACACCACCACTATGCAGGAGTGACTAAGTGTGGCGGGACTCCTGTCTCTGCAGAGGACACCAAGTGAGTGGTATCTCTGCATCCTTACAGTCTTCTCTGCCAACCCCGAGGGTGGGGAAAGTGGTGCTCAGTCTGGCAAACTGGGCAACTGTTTCCCACAGTCCTTTTGGACCAACACCTAGCCAGGCATTTCCCGCAGGCCAGGGTCAGATTTTGTGAGTGTGCTAATCCTTTAGTATCAGCTCCAGTGTCCCCAGTCTAGAGTCACCAAGTCCCTGGGCCCCAAGGAGGTGGATCGTCCCTTTCTTTGTACATGCCTGTCTCAAAGGCCTTTTACCCTCTAGACTCAGTGTGTTTTGTCCCTTGTTAGGACATATGAAGGGACTTTAAAGAGTTCATTGAAAAATGTGGGACCAGCAGATGGCGTAGCAATTACATTGTTGGACTCCCACATGGCTGACTACAGTTCAACTCCTGGACCCAGTGGCTTTAAAATCATACCAGGTGCATGCACACCCAAGATCCTGGGAAGAGAATGGAGAAGGGATTGAGGTGTAGCCAACCCCCTTGGTGGGGGGAGAGTTCTCACTTTCCTCTGCCTTTTTCCTTCAAGAGCACACGCCCTAAGGAAAAAAAAAAAAAAAAAAAGAAAAAAAAAATCAAGAAAAAAACATACAAAAAAACCCACTTTCAACATGTACCACACACTTTGCTAGGTTCTGAGTATACAAAGCTAAGACAAGGTCCCTGATTCTACTGGGTCATTGGAAAAATCATGACATATTTCTGTTTTTCCATGCAAAAAGGTGTCATGACTTTTCTGACAACCCAATAGAAATCCTCAGTAGAGGGAACCAGAAATAAACGAGTGGAGAACTGGCAAGGACCCTGGGTTGAGAGGAAAGGAGGCCTGCCCTTGTGCAGGTGCATCACGGCCCTGCTTCCTTATGAAGTCTGACGCCTTGTGAATTTCCAAAACAGCACACACACCCCAAACTGATCTGAGTACCCAAACACATATCCCACGGCCAAATGAAAATGCCCTTTGGATGACCGACCTCATGTGGATATTTTTGCCATCTTGGCCCGGACAACTGAAACATAGACACTCTCAGGGGAGCTGGTGATGGGTGGTGAGTCAGTGCTGGGGCTGGCGAGAGGCAGTGGGAAGAATACTAGACCCAGAATCGAAGATGAAGGTCTTGTTTGGGTTCTTCAGTCAAATCTCAGCGGGGACTCTGAAGTTATTCACCTCTTGCTACTTCCTCATCTCCGCAGTGGAAATACGCGTGAGCTTAATTATTGCGAGGTGGTAGTTACCACTTGTCAAAGCATGGAAAATGTACACGACATAGTCAAAGGCAAAGACAGAGAGGGCCAGTCCTTAGGCACAGGCCGACTCGTGACATCAACTGTTCACATTTAATCTGTTGTGTGGCTCAAGAGTTAAAATCAGCTCAAAGGAGTGGTGGACACCAATGTCAGCCAAAGGAAGACAGGTACATGAATCTCATGTTAATAAAAGCCATAAAACTGATAAAACACATAGATATGCCACAATTCTTTCACACAGTTTGCTTTAGCACCACTGAAAACACACAGGATCCAAACTGTCCAATGTGAACAATAGCTTTCTTGGGATCTAACCTTGTAAGACAGTAACCTCTAAGAAAATGATTCATAGGGATCGCTTACTTTGGGGGGCAAGTGTAAGAGGTAGCAGGAGGAAGTTAAGGGAAATGACCATTCCATACTACGGAAAACATGCTTGAAGGCAAACATGGCCCAAAGAGAAAGTTTCACCAAAATCAAAAATTGTTCAAAGGTGGTCATAAAACTAGCACCCAAGGGATCGGCAGGTGGTATAGTAGTTAAGGCGCTAGACTGCCATGTGGCGGACCGTGGTTCACGTTCTAGACCTGGTGGTTTGAAAGTCATGCCGGGCATGTATGTGTGCCCAAAATCCCATGAAAAGAGTGGAGGAGAAGAGATCATGGCATGGCCATCAAAGTGATTTCTCACTTTCTCACCCTCTGTCTCTCTGGTGAGTGCATGCACCATATAGCAAAAAAATCTCTCTAAAAACAAACAAAACAAAAGCTAGCACCCTACTCTCTGGTCAACAATTTAAACAACAACAAATAAAGACGGCCTTGCATAATCATGGGATTGGTAAAGGAATCAGGAAGGAGCTGTGTGTTGATCTGACTCTCCAAATCGAAGGCAGGTGCTCTCCAAGGGGCATGATGTCTTGATTTTAGGACCAAATACACTAGGCCTTGAGCCAGAGAGAGGCGATGTTACAGCAGAAAAGTGGAGGGCCATCTAATGTGTGGGTCCAGGGGAGCTTACATGTGCACCAACCGCTAAGCTATAACTACAGATCATTCGTTCTCATTGAGGGTAGCTGCGGGAGTCTCGAACAGCCCTGTGACAGAAGGCTGGCTTTTCTTTCCTCCTTCTTGGACGTCAAAGGGACAGTAAACCTCAGGATGCTCCTGAGGCTGAAAGCACTGCAGGAACACATACAGCAAGCTGCTCTGTGCACCTCCATCAGGAACTAAACAGAGTTTCGATGAACAGGATGAGTGGAAGGAGTTGCCTGTGATTTTCCTGGGGCTCCCCTGGCCACGTGGATAAGTAGACCGCAGCACTTTTTTGGTAATTGCCAGAGGGCGTGTGCACTTGCCAGAGAGCAAGAAAGAGAAAGCACTCCCAATGTGGCATGGTCACGCTGCAATTCTCTTTCCTCCACACGTACATGCACCCAGTATGATTTTTAAGCCACCAGGGAATGGGATTTGAACCATGGTTGGCCATGGGAGATCTGGCTACCAATGCACAGTGCTTAATCACTATGCGGCGGGGCCAGCATGTCGACGGCGTTTTGAAAATGCCACAGGAAATCAGAATGAACTCCTTCAGAACTCTAAGTGAAGGCTTCTGGCTGATAGAGAAGGTACAGGAGCATCTTCAAATGCTACTAGGAAAGCAGCTGAGGGCACGTGGGGATTGCCAGAAGCCTCGCACAGGACAGGAATGGTGCAGTGTCTAGGAGCTCTTAGGTCGTTTTACACGTCAGGACATTATTGTTAACAGGTTGTATTTAGCATTTTTTTTTTTAAGATAAAAACAAATAAAAAAAATAACTACCTAGACAAAACTTCTGTGTCCTAACAGACAAGGTATCTGGGGTGAAGGGATGATTTAACTCGTCCAACTCAAGAACACAAGAACAACAAAAGTAGTTTTCTTGAATATATTCAACTAGAACGGCAAGGACGTTTTCTACATGAAACGTTATAATCTCCCCACTACTCCAGAGAGATCCAATAAATAATTTTACGGTGAAAGAGCCTGGATCAAAACCGGAGGTTAAGCACCTGGCCCTCGACAGGTACAAGTCCCAGTCCCCGTGTAGGTCACCAGGGTCGAGCCATCCAAGCATGCCACCATCCCGAGCTTAGCCGGCAGGTCTGTCTTCTCTGACCACTTCTGGCTGGAAGTTCCACACTGCTTTATAGGAGAGTTCCACCTGGTCAGCCTGGTGGGGAGTGAAGCCAAAGAGCTCAATGGGCAAGGTGGTCAGAGTCTGGGTTTCCTGGCACCCCTGTCTTCTTCCGGCGGACTAGCCTGAGTGTGGAGTCGGGTTGCAGGAGGCCAGTTCTTCAGCGGGGCCTGTTCCCTGTGCTGGAGCGAGTCTCTGTCTGTCACGTGGGTCACGCAGGGAAGAGTTCCGGAGGGCTCTCCCCATAGCAGTACTTGGCTACGGGGTCCCTGTAGGTGTTCTCGTGCTGCACGCTCTGTTGGCACAAGGAAGACAAGAGCGTTGTGAGAGCGAGTCGGATTCTGCACACCTCCCTCTTGGAAGATGGGGCTGCAGTGAGTCTCTCCCTGTAGGAGGTTGGCCAAGCTCTTCTCCGAATGTCACTAAAGGCTCCAAAGTACTTTCCCAAACAAAAGAGAAGGCTCAACATGAAATGCCGATGAAGAGCATGAAAATGGACCCATCACCACTGCGTGGCTGTTCCAGTTTACATATACAGTGAGCTTCTTTAATGACATGGTTGCAACCTTGGCGCCTTAAGACATCAACTTTTTAATTTTTTTTTGGAGTTTTTTTTTTTTGCCATAGGGAGCGTGTACTCGCCAGAAAGACAGACACAGAGAGACAAAAAGCGAGAAATCACTCCCCTGGGGGGATGGCCACACCGCAATCCCTTCTTCATTCTCCTCTCAGGATCTTGGGCATGCACGCACACGTGCCCAGCGCGGGTTTAAGCCACCAGGTCCGAGACATGAACCGTGATCGACTACATGGGAGTCCAGCGACATAGCCATTACGCCAACTGCTGGTCCCCAACTATTTTTTTTTTAATTATTTGATTTAGATTAAGATCCAATGGGTGTTTTGTACTTGATCCTGTGCTTGAAAAAAAATTTTAAAATAAAATAAAACCATTCTGGCACAGAAGCCTACAGAGAGGCGAAGAAGCCCACTTCAAATTGCTTTCATCAAGTTTATGCACCTAAATGTTCGCCTGGGCCAAATCCTAAAACACCACGTAGGCCTCATTTGGCTCTGCAAATTGGAAGAGTGATTTAAGGCAGACAATCATCCCCAATGGCTAATTTTTCAGCAATTTGTTTTCACACAAGCAACTCAAATTTTTGGCTAGTCTGGAGTTCATTAATTAGCCCAAGACGAATGCTAAGCAACTAGATTATAAGTAGTAATCCAATTTAATAGACATACAGCCAAATCTTTTTTCCTTGGGATACTGTTACCAAAACAAATTGAATGGCAATTCGGAAAATCTCTACTTATGATAAACGGACCAAGTTGGAAAGTATAGTAGCTTCACTCAAAATTTGGAAGTAACTCTGAATTTTTCTTTTCTTTTAAAAGAGAGATTTTTGCTATAGGGTGCATATGCTCACCAGAGAGACAGAGAAACAGAGAGCGAGGAATTATGCGGGGGAGGAGGGATGGCCTTGCCGCAATTCCTTCTCCATTCTCCTCTCAGGATCTTAGGCATGCACACAGATGTACTCAGCATGAGTTTCAAGCACCGGGTCCAGTATACAAACCGCGGTCGGCCATGCGGGAGTCCAGCACCCTAACAATTACGCCACTTGCTGGTCCCTCCTGGGTTTTTTCGATTAAGGAAAGAAAACGCTTCACCTTTTCTGGAGCGCATTTCTCAGAAGGAGAGACACTCTGAACTGAAATGAGTCATGCGTTCTGCCTTCCTCCACATTTCCTTTACAGCCCGTTCAAGTGGAAAGTTCTTCAAGCAAAACAAGACCATCAGGACTTTCTGAACGTTCTCAAATGCTCATTATAATCCCTGCAACATTTACCCAGTGATGCAGAATGCGCTCCGAGCAAACCAAACACATACAAGGGGCAGTGTAAAACCAAAGGGCCGACTACGGAAATCTGGCAAAGGGTACGAGAGTTACGGAGAATGACAAATGAGTCCCTTATCTCAGACGAAGCCAGTGAGACCTTGGAGACACCGTGAATAGAAGCCAGCAGAGATGTGCTTGCGGAGTAAACACGGTTGGTGGTTTTGCAAAGAGCTGCGACAACCACCCACCACAGAAGCTGGGAGCTGAGGACGCAGACTGACGGAAAGGCAATAGACTTTCAGACGCTCTCAGCAGCAGGTGCGCCGTTTACTGCCCCAAGAGCAAAGCACTGAATGACAGCATGCTAATACGAATTGCGAGCCTGACAACCTACAGATTTATTCTTGCATTTTTAAACACCCACCTGCCCCTTCGCCCTGAATCCTAAAATAAACCCCAACCCCAGAATAAATGACTGTTTACTCTAAACGAGCGGGTGCTGGAAAGTCAAATTTAGTCCAATTTCAGTAAAAGATGGGGAGGAGAGGAGTTCTCTTAGAAGTTGGACTCTGAGGACTCTACCCTGACTTAAAAGATAATTTAAAGCTTCCACTTACGGTGCAGTGTGCCAGTCAGAAAGGCCTCGATTTAATGTAAATGCTTTACCTTCCCAACTGTATAAACCTCTGGTTGACCTACGCACTGTCATTATGCCAGTAAAGCAAGACATAGCTTCATCTGAATCCCTTCTCCACTGTCACCACACCCAGAGGGCCTTGGGGCATGTGCAGGGACTTCAAAAAGCGTGTGGAGGAACTGAACAAAAGTGCGAGTTGATCTTGCGCCATGTTGAGATCTGTGCATCGTGTCTTCGTAACACGTGTGTTGCATGGCTTTATGCACACGCCTCATGTTTTCTTGTTTTCTCCTGGGCCAACTCTCACCCGCCATCCCCCAGCTAGAGGAGACAGAGTGTCTGACCTGGGACGAGGTCCTGCATTTAGCCAAACACAATTCAAAGTGATCTTCGACTGCCATGAAGAGGTTCTGGAACGCCACAGCTGCCCGGTTGAGAAAGCGCTCCAGAAGCAGTTGCTATAGAGACAAAAGTTAGGAGCTGTAATAAATTCCAGACCAAGTGGCACAAGGTAACCTTGGATATCTCTGCTAAGCTAAGAGAATGCTGATGCGAGGGGGAGGGGAAAAGGGGGAGGAGGAGGGAGGCCATTGTATTCATTAGCTGGTTAGCCACACAATGGTCCATTCTGTACAGAGAACCATTCAAGAAAGAGAAACCAGGAACCACCTCCTTTCCTTGCAGACAAAAGCTACTGAACAGTCACAATTTCTGACACCTTAGAGGTTCCTTTCTAAGTGCTATTTTTTTTGGGGGGAGGGGAGAGGCTTTTGCTATAGGGCGCGTGCACTCGCCAGACAGACAGAGACAGAGAGACAGAAAGCGAGAAATCACGCCCCCCCGGGGAGATGGCCACACTTCCACCCCTGCAAACCCTTCTCCGTTCTCCTCTCAGGATCTTGGGCACGCACGCACACGCGCCTGGCGTGAGTTTTAAGCCACCGGGTCCAGGACACAAACCACGGTCAACTACGTGGGAGGCCAGCGACATAGCCATTACGCTAACTGCTGGTCCATAAGTGGTATTTTAACAGCAACTTCCCAGGAAGAGCCTAATGCACATCCTAAAATCAAGGCAGCAGGAAAAGGGGGCCGAGGGACCAGGGCGCACTCTTACCTTGCTGGGCTGCAGGCAGCAGGAGACGCAGTGTTCGTAGGCGCCGCAGCAGCCGCTGGGCAGGCAGCCATCGCAGCAGTACTGCTTGGTGGTGGGGACGTGGACGTTACAGCAGCCATTCACCAGCAAGTCCTTCCTTTCACAGACGTACCCTGGAGGGCAGAGACTCCCTTAGCATAAAACCAGCCGCCCTGGGCCGGGCCGCTGGACTGGGGCTGGCCGCACGACAAGAGTATCCCAGGTTAGAAAAGGCAGAACCTGGGGACCAACAGTTGGCGTAATGGCTATGTCACTGCACTCCCCATGTAGTCAACTGTGGTTCGAGTCCCGGACCTGGTGGCTTAAACTCACGCTGGGTGCGTGTGCGTGCGTGCCCAGGATCCCAAGGAGAATGGAGGAGAAGGGACTGTGGTGTGGCCATCCCCCCTGGGGGAGTGATTTCTCGCTGTCTCTCTGTCTTTCTGGCAAGTGAATGCGCCCTATAGCAAAATCCTCTCCCAAAAAAAAAAAAAAAAAGGCAAGGCAGACCCTGGAGTCTCAGGAACTCTTAGAAGCACAGAACTGGACATAACTGAATCAGGACATGCAGCAGTTTACAAGAAACAGGGAAGCCAGGTTGTGACTGGGCGGTGTGGCACGATCTACCTGCATGTGTTAGAGGTCACCCCCTCACCCCCTGACAGCGGCGCTTACTGTTTCCTGTACTGACTAGCCTATGCACGCCCGTCTCTCGTCTGGGCCTGAAGAAAAATGTCATTGCTTCAAACAAAAATCTGTAAACAGGAAAAACCAAGGCATTCGCTCGCCAAAGTAAAAGGATTTTAAAAACAGAAACAGTGGCATCTAACCTTCAGACAGATTTAGACTATCTGTACGTGTACATGCCATGGACTCGACTACAATTAGCCCTTGGCATGAGGAAAAGCAGTTTTCTGATACCTCTGGAAGAAAAACTCTCTTAGTTTCCTGCACTCTTCACAAATCCCAGCATCTTTTATATTCATTCTATGCAAGAGTTTCACGCCTAAAGTCAGACTTGTATTCACAGGTATGTAGACACCAGCTGAACTTGCTATCGAAAGTAGTTATTTAAGAAATTTTGTGAATCCATAAAACGTGGGGCAAAAAAAGGAATGGAAAACAACTGTAGACACCTGAGACAGTGTGGGAGGAGGGTGGGAAATGGCAGAGGGTGAGAAATAAGGGAAAAAAATACATATACATACAGATGTATGAAACCAGAAGTGGAAAATTATTGACAATGACATGTATGATTCAGCCACTATGCAGTATATTCTGGATGGGAAATCACATTTTGTATGCTGTGACAATGCTCAGTGAGTGAATGTAAATTAATTAAGTGAATGTAAGTGAATTAATAAAAAATTTAAAAAATTAAAATTAAAAAAAGTAAAAAAAAAAAATTTCTCAGCAATTCTTGGGACCAGTAGATGGCATACCAGTTACATCGCTGGACTCCTGTGCAATCAATCGCAGTTCAAGCCCCGGACCTGCAGCTTAAAACTCACACCAGGCATGTGTGCTTACGTACCCAAAATCCCAAGAAGAGAGGCGGGGAAGGGAATGAGGCATGGTCATACCTCCTGGGGGGGGTGATTTCTTGCTTTCTGTCTCTCTCTCTCTGGTGAGCACACACGCCCTACAGCAAACATCTCCCCAATAAAATAAAATTAATCCATCTACCCATCATCTCTGCACACACTCCCTTCAACCCAGTCAATTCAGGAACTTTAGGAAAAGGATCTCCTCATAAAAGCCCATGTTCGGAGCCACTATACTGACATTTTTCTACATCCTTCTGGGAGTGGGACAGAAAAATGTAGAACAAGGGCCCCACAGGGGCCACCGCCTGGCCCAGGGGAAGCTCCCAGGTGCAGAGCAGCTGCTCCCAGCATCATTCCACTCCACATGCCCCGCTTCGTAGTCCTCAGAGGAAGACTGAGAACAAGATGAGGTTGTTTTCTGAAACTACTCGTGAAAACAAAGCCTGAGCACAAGTGGGAGGAGCCAGCACAACACCAGCTGCAGAAGACACGCCAGGGTCCTCGCTGCTTCAACACTTGGGAAGCTGAGACCTCGAAAGAACTGGATTCCAGTGACTCTGAACCTGGTGTTTTCTGTTACTGACTGTGTTATTCTAACTTCTGAATTAAGGGAAAGACGGGGTCTAATGTCATAGTACATGTTTCTGGATTCTTCCTACTTCTACTTACTTTCTGTCAGAAAGATGTATTGGACCCAATAAAATGCTACGTGACCTAAAGTCTGCTTGCTGAAACGACCTTTCTGCCCTCTTGTTTTCCATACTGTGTCAGCACCTAGGGCATCCTGATGCTGCCCAGAGCAGACTTCAGGCTATTAGCCCTGGAACTGCAGGTCTTTTTGTTTTTTTAAAGAGAGATTTTTGCTATAGGGTACAAGTGCTCGCCAGAGAGACAGAAAGTGAGAAATCACTCTCCAGAAGGATGGCCATGCTGCAATCCCCTTCTCCTCTATTCTCCTCTCAGGGATTTCCGGCATGCACGCATATGTGCACGGCATGAGTTTAAGTTGCCCAGTCTAGGACTTGAACCAGGGCTGACTACATGGGAGTCGAGAAATTTAACTGTTAAGCCATCTGCTGGTCCCTGAAATTGCAGGTCTAACTCCTGGTGAAACAAGCTCATAGAATTCTGTCCTCTGCATCATGAATCTCCTCATGCAGGTGTTGTTCCTGATGCCTGATAAGGAGTCCTGTAAGATCACAACCTCACAAGGTACTGTTATTGCCTAATTAACTTTCAACCTTTGCAAAGTTTGTAATCCTAGCCGGTTATCTTATTTAATAATGTGTTGCCCTGGCAGGATTCACAGTGTCATCTGCTTGCTAACAGGAATCAATTCTTGAACGTTTCTTTATTAAGCTTCCTCTCCCATATTCATGGAGGGAAAACAAAACCCATGGGTCTTAGAATTTTATTGACTGGGTGACTGATTCTTGGAATTTCTTTTAAAATTTTATTTATTATTACTAGTTTTTATATTTTTGCTATAGAATATGTGTACTCACGAGAGAGAAATGAGAGAGAGAGAGAGAAAGCAAAAAAAGCAAGCTGCTAAGTCTGAGACTCAAACTGCAGTCGACCATGTGAAGTCCAGCACCTTAACTGTCACATCACCTGCTGGTCCTGACAAGCTTTATTTTTAAGATCACATTGAGGGATGAGACAGTGGCATAGAAGGGAAGACACAACACCCTGAAAGGCAGTCCCACATGGAAACATACCCAGCTCAAGCTCAGAATTCCCTGGGTACACTGGATGTGTATGTGTGCCCATGAACCAGGGCTGGCTGAAGGCTATGGGTGGATCACAGCATCAGGATTCAGGGGAGCTGTGCATCTCTGTCTCTCTCACTTAGAGAATAAATAAATAAACTTAAAAACAAACAAACAAACAATACAGGGCCAGCTGGAGGCACAGAGGTTACAGAAGCTGGAATCCACATGGATGACTGTGTGGCTGAGTCCCATACCCGGAGGCTTGAAAATCAGTGTGTGTGGCCAAAATACCAAACACAGAAGGGACTCCTGGTGGGTGTGGCCATCCCTCCCCAGGTGATTTCTCACACTCATCTCCCCCCTGCAAGTACATGTGTTGTATAGCAAATAAAAATAGATTATAAAAAAAAAAAAAGTCCTTCCTAATCTTTGGAATGCTCCTTAACCCTTGCGTTCACCTGTAAGAGGAGAGCAATATCTACCTCATAGAACTTTGCTGTAGGGGCCAGCAGGTGGCGTGGTGGATAAGGCGCTGGACTCCCAAAAGACCGACCATGGTTTGAATCCCGGAACGGCACCTTGCTTTCTCACTTTTCCTCTCTCTCTCTCTCTGGTCAAATTAAAACTAATTAATTAAATAAATAAATAATTATTTAAGAAAAGGGAAAAAAAACATTGCCAAAAAAAGTCAAATGAGATATATAAAGGAATATCTGTAGCCCAGTAAGAGCTCAATTAGTAAAGGCGAAGAGTCAGCAGGAGTCTCTAGTTGGGAAGACGGGGCCACATTAAAGTAGCAAGAGCTCGAGGCCAGCAGGTAGCGTGATGGTTGAGGTGCTGGACTCCCAAATGGCCAACTGCAGTTCGAGTCCTAGGCTGGACTGAAAAAACTGGGTGCATGTGTGTGAGTCCTTCAAATCCCAGGAGGAGAATGGAGGAGAAGGGATCCTGGCATGGCCATCCCCCTGTGAGTGATTTCTGTCTCTCTGCCTCTCTCCAGCAAGAGTGCATGCCCTATGGCAAAAACAAGAAGGGAAGGAAGGAAAAGACAAAGAAAAAAAAAAAAAACAGAAAGAGAAGACAGACAGACAGAAACACAGAAAGGACAAAGAAGGAATCTAAGAAAAAAGAAAGACATACAGAAAGAAACACAGAATGAAAGACAGAAACACAGAATGAAAGACAGAAAGAAAAAATTAAAAAAAAAAAGTGTTCTAGGTCTCATCTATCTTTCCTGTTGGAGAAATTTTTCTTACAGCTTAAAAGGAAGTGAGAAACTATTACACTAATGCTTTTACCGCGGGAGTAACATCTTCTGAACATGTTTATGTCCCATTTGAAATTATCTAGTCAGTCGGTCAGCAAGTACATTTCCTGGGTGTCAACACTGTGTGGATGTTATTCAGGCTATGAAGGAAGAAAACTGAGCTCTTACCCTACAGAGTTCACCATCAAGCTGAAAAGATCAGCAAGATCCAAAAATCCTGGGACTGGGGAGAGCCTGGCAGCAGTGGTCTTGGGACTGATGTGGGATAAAAAGCTCACATGGGGGACCAGCAATTAGCACAATGGCTACATAGCTGGACTCCCACGAAGCAGACCGTGGTTCAAGTTCTGGACCCGGTGGCTTAAAACTCACCTCGGTCACGTGTGCGTCCCTGCCCAAGATCCCGAGAATGGAGGAGAAGGAACTGCGGTGTGGCCATCCACCCTGGGGAGTGATTTCTCACTTTCTGTCTCTCTGTGTCTGTCTGGCAAGTGCGTGCACCCTACCAATAAGAAAAAACCTCTCCCCCCCCCCAAAAAAAAAAAAAAAAAAAAAAAAAAAAAAAAAAACCACTCACATGGTAAGCCAGAGATACAAGGAACTTCTTTTAATTATTTTTGTTTGTTTGAGAGAGAGATTTTTGCTAAAGGATTTGTGCACTTGCTGGAGAGACAGAAAGTGAGAAACCACCCCCGGGGGGATGGCCACATCGCAATCCCTTCTCCTCATTCTCTCAGGATTTTGAGCACCCATGCACCTAGCATGAGTTTCAAGCCACCAGGTCCGGGTCTTGAACTGCAGCCGACTAAAAGGGAGTCCAGCAGCTTAACCACTACACCATCTACTAGGCCCCAGGCACAAGGAACTGCTAACGAAGTTAGACACCAACCTTCCCAGACCAGCAAGCTGGTATAACGATTACATTTGTCTTTGTCTCTCTGGTGAGCGCACGTACCCTATAGCAAAAAATCTCTCTACCCCCCAAAAAAAACCAATGTTCTCCATTACAGAAGGGAAGCTTGATGACGAGCAGGGTGTGAAAGACCAAAAAGATGTGGGAAATGCTGGGTGTGAGAAAGGGAAATCCGCTGTAGAGGAATCCCTATCAATGAAAATCCCAGGAAAGCCCGCCACGTCCTGTCTCCTGACTGGGGAGGGGACGGGAAGCTGGCCTCACCCAGTTCGTCTGTGATGAGGTGCTTCCCCTGGATGGAGTTACGACACTGGTTGCTCGGCCGGCTGCTGTTGCCCAAGTTAAACTGTACTTTCCACGGGATGGGCTGGTCATGGTCTTGAACCTGGAGGAGATTCCGATCTCTCACTGCCCTCTCCTCCTACAACGTGACCACAATGAGAAAGTCAACGTTTATTTTCTTGCAATTTCACCAATTTTTCATAGAAACTACAATAAAAAGACAAGAACACTGTGCAGGAAAACCAAAAAACAAAAAACTTTCACTACAGGAATCTTACATCCTCCTGGTATAAGCCACATCTGAGCCAAAGTCATAAGCCGGTAGGGAAAAGCAGTAAGTCAGGACTACAATGGCCTCTGGATGACATGCACGTTACAAATGGGCATTAAAATGTTAAATTTTATTTTAAAAACTGGAGGAAAACTTTGGAACTTTTTCTTTCTGATGGCAAGTCATGAAAATATTTTTATATTTAAAACAAATATATTATGGGATAGAGTATAAAATTTGAATACATTTCAGGGCCAGCAGGTAGTATGGTGGTTAGAGGCACTGGACTACCACGTGGGCAACTGTAGTTTGAGCCCCAGACCTGGCAGCTTGCTTTCTCACTTTCCCTCTCTCATGCTGTCTCACATTCTGTCCTTCTCTGGTCAATTTGAAATAAATAAATGGATAAAGTTAAATAATTATTTAAAAAATATTAAATACATTTTAAAAGAGAAGAAGAAGGGCCAGTAGGTAGTGTGGTGGTTAAGACACTGGACTCCCTCATGGCCAACTGCAATTGAAGTCCCAGACCTGGTGGCATACTTTTCCCCTTTCCCTTTCTCTCTCTCTCTCTGTTCCAATTAAAAAATAGTAATAACAGGGGCCAGCAGGTGGTGTGATGGTTAAGGGCGCTGAACTCCCACATGGCCAACTGTGGTTCAAGTCATGGACCTGGTGGCTAGCTTTCTCAATTTCTATTTCTCTCTCTTGCTCTGTCCCTCTCAAATCAAATTAAAATAAACAAAGTTAAATATTTAAAAAATAGTAATAACCAATTAAGTAAATAAGTAAATCTTTACCCCCTCAAAAAAAAAAAAAAAGAGAGAGAGAGAGAGGAAGAAGTACCTTTGTGACTCATCCTAGCCAACAGCCAGGCCCATCTACAGCATAGGGCTCTCTCATCTGCGGTTTCAGGCGCTCAGTGATACACACACACAGGGGGACTGAATGAGGCGGCTAACTTTGGGGACATGATGGAGTACCTCAACTTGCAAATTTCTTCTATAAAAGAGTACTGAGTATAAAACCCTTATGCATGTGTGTTCGCAGAAAACGTCCTGGCCAGTCAACCCTGTCCCCAGACATGCGAAGGGAAGAGGTGCCCTGGAGCAGAGTCTAGATCACGTCTCTGCCTTGAAGCTTCATGGGTGGCAGCAGCGCTTTCGCAATGTCCTTTTCTGTACTGTTCGAGAGACTAAGGAGGAAGGTGCTCGCGTGCCAGAGAACGAGCCAAGCATGGGTCAGACACCTTCTGAATGTTTCACTTTATTATTGAAAAAACGAACAATTATAAAATTATGACACCCTCCCAAAGACTTTTTATGTACTTTAAACATTTGCCTTTCTAATAGATTTCTGTAGCATTCGGGAATAATCTGTTATTAAGAATGGTCTTAATAACTGCTTTTGGACAAAAGAGACTAACCTTGAAAATCTGATGGTAAAGTTCATATACCTTTAAAAAAATGGGAAAGATCTTTAAAATAAGATTTTTTTATTAGGAAAGCAATCTGGAAAGAGCTATTAATATTTAAAATACACATATTGGGACCAGCAGTTGGCGTAATGGCTATGTCGCTGGACTCCCATGTAGTTGACTGCAGTTCGAGTCCC